AGTAACCTTACCCAGGGCAGCGGGTAGCAGGTTTGCCTTGCGTGTGGCCAACCGGGGTTCAATTCCTCCGTCCCTCTGGGAAAGCCCGGCAAGCTACCAAGAGAATCCCGCCCGCATGGCAGACAATGCTACAGTGCTAACCTTCTCGGTTGGTCTTGTTCCTCCCGCTGTTCTTCGATTTGCTCGAGCGGGCCCAGTAACGTCTCAATTGTGAGACTTGTTGTTACTGTGTTTGGCATATCGAATACGTCACAGGGAGCTTGCCAGGCTTTGCCGTGCGGGCGAGATACTCTCCGTAGCTTGCTGGGCTCTCCGAGAGGGGCGGAGGAATCGAACCCAGCTTGGCCGAGCCAGCTGCATGCAAGGCAAATGCCCTACCATTGTGCTATCGCTCCAGCCCATGCTAACCTTACCCTAACTTTTTTTAATGAACTTTTACCTAGTCCGCAAGCCTAGCTGGAGGAAGTTCCTGTTCTCTAACCAGAAACAGAGAAGATCTTTCGGCCAGCCCAGAGGAAAGTCTGCATCTCCCTTCAGCACTTCTCTTTATACCAAGTGATTCACCCATCCATTGCTCCAATTCCTCATGAAGAAATTGTTTCCTCCAGCTGTCCACTACTAACTGCATAGAGTTAGTGAAACTCTTTGAACGACTGCAGAATTAGGAACCCAAAATTGGGTAGGCCCTTTCCTGATGGGGCTGGGGACTGAGCTGAGGGAGTCGTGCAGGCCAGACAGTGCTCTACATCAGGGAGCATCCTTTGGAGAAAGAATCCAGCAATCCAGATATGACCAAGGAAAGGTAAACTCATGTCACATCAGTAAGTTCCAGGAAGGGGCTCTGTAACAGAATAAAACAAAAAATGCCTGTACATCTGCGATTGTTCTTATACTTTTTATACTTCCTGGTATTTTTTCCTCCATCCAGTAGAGGCTATGGAATCTGTTCTAAGGTGAAAAGAAGGTTAAGGTTAAGGATAAGGGCTTTTATCCACTCATGAGCCTGGATTAGATTATTAATAGCCATTCACTACTAAAGGCAGGCTCAGGGTAAAAATCCTGAGTCCAAGCGAAAGAATTCTCCAAAGGAAAGTAAAATTTTAAAGGACGAGGGCCGCAGAATGCCAACAATCTTGCCCATCTAAAAAGCCACCCTTCCATACTTACCCTTGATGTTTGCAGTTTTATTAGTTTCTGCTATTTTCCCCACTCGTGAAAGCATCTTGAAAGGACCTTGTCATTTTCACTAATATATGTGCTTAGCATAGAGTTGGAACACAAACATTTGTTGACAGAATGAATGAAGCACTGTGTTGACTTTGAATGGTTTAAAGCACCTAAGTCTATCCTTAGCCACTGATACATATTCTTTCACATAGGATTTTCCTAGCTTGTCATAAAATGCATTCAATAAATACCAATTAAATGTCTAAAATAGGTAAGATACTGTACTTTCAAGAACAACAAAAGTATATTAGTGACTAATAAAACAAAGGCTAATCTACTGATTGCAAGGCACTAAGATAGCCCTAGAGATACTGCAATGAGTAAGTCACACTTAGCAGCATCTTAGGAACATCAAGAAGATAAATGACTATGTAATACAGCTTGAAATAGAAAATGTTAAGTTTTTCTAAAGGTTTAAGGACTACTGGGAGTCAGACGAAAACAGAGTTTTAAAATTACTTGTCAGACACTGACAAGGAACCGGACATTATTTGTGGCTTAATCCTCCGATTCAGAAATGAAAACTAGTACTTTCTACATGAAGCAATTAATGGAAATGGCCTCGTAGGTTTTGTTAAAAATCAATATTTTTGCTAAAAATCAATATGTCCTTATATCATTAGCACTGTGGCAAGTGATATTAAGAGTGGATCTTAAGAAGCAAGTATTGAGATCAATTTTCTATTTAAGAAAACCATAATCAGGGGTTGGACAAGAGCAAAGCGGGTAGGGCGTTTGCTTTGCACGCAGCCGACCTGGATTTGATTCCCAGCATCCCATATGGTCCCCCAAGCACTCCCAGGAGTAACTCCTGTGCATCGCCAGGTGTAACCCCAAAAAGCAAAAAAAAAAAAAATAATCAGGGGCTCGGAAATAGAAAACAGTTCAAAGGATTGGAAGTGCATGTTTTGCATGAAGAACCCCCAGTTCAATACCTAATCCTCATTCCTCCAGCACTGGAAGGGAATAGTCACCTCAGAATTACTGCATGTGGCCCAAAAATAAAACAAACAGACAAAAAAAAATCAAAACCAAATTCTAAATAATCAAGTTATTTCCATGTGTATGTATATGAGCTACAGTAACACAGATCTGCTGACCTAAGCAATAATATATGTAAAGAATAATCCTGAACTTGGGGACAGAAAGATAGCACAGTGGCCAGGCCTTGCACAGCAGACCCAGGTTTAATCCCTTACATCCCTTACAATGAGTATCAGCCCCCCAAGGACCACCAGGAATGATCCTTGTGCTGGGAACGCACAAAAACAAACAAAAGCTTTCGAATCACCTGATTTATACCACAGTAATTCTATAATAAAACTTTTGTGGGGCTGGAGCAATAGCACAGCGGGCAGGGCGTTTGCCTTGCACGCAGCCAACCCAGGTTTGATTCCCAGCATCCCAGATGCTCCCCTGAGCACCTCAAGGAGTAATTCCTGAGTGCATGAGCCAAGAGTAACCCCTGTGCATCACTGGGTGTGACCCAAAATGCAAAATGAAAATAAGAATAAAACATTCGTTGTCACTCAGAAAGTGAAAATTAAGTCAATATACAGCTAGCTATTGCAATTCTTTTGTCATCAAATGAAATTGACTCTTGAGTTTCGTTCAAATATGCTACTTCAGATTCTTAAAACATTCTGAAACACATGCTCACTAGAGCTATTTCTTTTGAGGTAAAAGCACTGGAATGGGTCTAAGATCTCTTAGGCGCTGCATCTTGTTCCAATACCAACTACATGAATTTGAGTAGGGAAGTTGTGTCCCACATGTGTAAAACAATGCTGTTAAAGCTCAAAAAACTATGAAAATCTAACTTACTCCCAAACCATCCACCAAAGCACGAAGTTTCTGAACTAATATTGACAAAACTTCAGTTGATAACCTTTCTCCCTCACTTAATGATTCCCTACAGCAGTGAGGGTAAGCACTTTCATTTCCAGCAGCTACGGATTGGAAAAGGAATCCTTTACAACAATTTGAAACAATTCCTTTTTAAAGGAATCCTTTAGGGGCTGGTTGCCTTGCATGCGGCCAACCCGAGTTTGAGTCCCAGCATCCCATATGGTCCCCTGAGCATCGCCAGGGGTGATTCCTGAGCGCAGAGCCAGGAGTAACCCCTGTGCATCGCTGGGTGTGACCCAAAAAGATAAATAAATAAATCCTTTAAAAAACAATTCTATGACACCCCCAGCCCCCACCTTCCCAAAAAAAAATACTCTATCCAGAAAAGTCTTTTCATAGAATTTTTATGGCCAAAATCAAACAAACACTTATAAGGCTTCTTGATGAATTTCAAAAGATTTCTACCCTTATAATTCATTTCAGCCATGAATTTCTCCTGTTCATTGCAAACTGCTGCCAGGGGTGTGTATTAAAAATGTTTTCCATTGAGATGTGCATAGGCAATGAATCAAGTACCATTTGGCAATCTGCATAAAATATGATGGAGATAAGAACATGTCACTAATAGAGTCATCCTAGTTATTATGGAGATCCTATGAAATGAATAGAGCTATCAGGCAAATTTTTGTTGTTATTGTCATTTTGCTTGGTTTTCAGTCATACTGGCCTTACTCCTGGCTCTGTATTCAGGGGTTGCTCCTGGAGGTGCTCATCTGTGGTGCCAGGGATGGAACCGAGGACAGCCACGTGTAAGCACATTGGGTATTGCGCTATCTCTCTGCCCCCAGGCAATGAGGCATACAGATTGCAAAGTGCTAAATGACCATAAAGACTGAAACTTTATCTACAATTTTTTGTCATGGGGAACTAAATATTCTGTACCTCAGCGTAATCTGAATTCACATTAAGGAAACCTAACCGCTGTTTCAGACTAAAACCCAGTCAGATCTCTCTATAGTGTCAAATAATTTAGAATGCTAATTAGTTTCTGCCAATGCAACAATTCCCAATAAATGCTGTAACTACATATTCACGCAGCTTTTCTGCAGAAATTAGCCGTGGCAGCCTAATTCCTGCCACATTAAAGGGCATTAAGTAAAAGCAAAAGATACTATTGTGTGAAAAACATGGGTGAATGCTGATGGTAGAACTGGCTGCACTTCTTCAAATTAAGAAAAATTAAGCCAAAAGATAGGAAGTATGCAAAGGGAAGGAACCCAGGAGCTATTTGCAGCAATGGTCCCTAGCAAGTTCTAAGCGCTTCCCCCTCGCTCCCCAAGAGATGAGCAAATGAGGGCAAAAGGGAGGAGGGCGCTCCTTGGGGGGGAAGGGGGAGCTCAGAGTTACTCTGTTCACAACTTGCAATAGTCACTGAATTCACAGTAAGATGATCCACAGATGTACAATCCGTAAGGCTGTGTGCGGGAGATGGGAGTGACTTTTGCTTTCCGACAAACTGCACGGGAGTTTCCAAAACCCTGGGTGATTTCGCAAGGGCGGTTCGCAGCATCCTCGCGGCACACACCTGCCGGACTGGGCAGCTTCTCCCTTTCCCCTCCGGTCCTTTAGGACTGGGCCAAGGTCCAGTGGCCGGCGCACTGTTAGTGCCCGGGCCGCCCGGACCCGTGGCGACGACAACGAGCGCCCCCGACCCGCTCGGGTTCCGGAGCCCCGCACGCGCCGAGCGCAGGCGGCGGCTCCCAGCTGGACCACCGGCACCACCAGGATGCGCATCACAATTTGAAAACTTGAGGGAGCCGCGTCGGCCCGGGAGGCGACGTGCCGGCAGCGCCGGGTCGCGCGCGGGGCTGGGGACGGCCGGCCGGTCCCGCCCCTCGCCGCGGCCGCGGGCCAGTGGTCCGTACCTGTCCTCCGAGACGCTGATGACGCCCTCCTCCTTGGGCACGATCACGGCCATGTTCACCACCTCCTGGGACCCCTCGACCCGCTGCAGCAGGACCGGCTTTCGGATCAGCGCCTGGGGCTGGATCTCCGCCGCCATCGGAGGAGGGGGCGCGCCGGGGGCGCCGCCGCCCACCGCGCCGCGGAGCCGAGCTCGGACGGTCGCTCGCGCCGCGGGCGCGTCCCGGGACGGCGACTCTGCTTGGCCGGGGCGGGACGCGAGGGACCCGCCACCATAGCCTGGCCGCCGCTCGGGGAACGACTCGGCGCTCCCGGCCCCGGGTACCGAAACCGCCACAAGCCGCGCTGCGGGCCGGCGCCACCTCTAGAGGAGGGGGCGGAGAGCCGAGGGGGGGGAGGGGAGGGAGGGGGAGGGAGGGGGAGGGGGCGGAGAGCCGGGGGCGGGGCCGGGGCGGGGCCTGCCGCCGCGCGCGGGGGGGGGGCGCTGGCGGGCGCGAGGGCGGCGGCACTTCCGGAAGGGGAGGGGAGGGAGGAAAAACCCGGAAAAGAAGGCGGGGCGCGGGGGGCCCCGTACGCATGCGTCAGCCCGTAGCTCATTTCCGCCCCGCCCTTCCCTAGTTTCCGAAGCCTTGCCGCGCTTCGGCTAGCACGCATGCGCGCCTTTCCTCCGCTCCCGCCCCTCCACCGCCACCTTCCACACCCAGCATTTAGTCCCCGCCTGCCGTCTCCCGTGAACGCGCGCGGGAGCGCGCTTGCCGGAGGCCCCACCCCCTCCAAATCTCCGAGTCGGAGGCGGGGCCAAGCGGGCCTGAGCCAAGCCGGAAAGACGAGTCGGCGGGAGGCGACGCGGCTCGGGGCACTGGGTGGCGACTGGGCATGCGCACGGCTCACCTGCCCTGCGCGGCCTCGGCGGCGAGGCGTGGAGGGGAGTCGTCCCGGTGCTGCTCACCGGGCGGTGTTCCCTGGATTCCTGGAAACTGTCGTTTTTCCCAGCCGCCTTCCCTTGTCCTAGAATGACGTGTCGCCCACTTTTCTGCGCTCCTGTCCCGGGGAAATCCCTGGCCACTGCCAGTGCAAGTGGCAAAGTTGTAGCCAGCAGGAGCAGAACCCGGCTGAGCAATCAGGCGGTCGCTGGTTCCGTGGTTCCGACTGTTCCCCCTTGAAAGGCTCAAGGAGAGTGAAAGGAGAGAATCTATCGTGCAAACATTCTGAGTGAGCTTAGAGATCATCTGTAGGGCCAAACCCTCTCCTTTGCTTAGCTGGCCAAAGTGTACCAGCGCAAATTACTCTTGTTCCAAGTTGCGGTCCCCTCTATCACTGGTCCTATCCAGACTTTTTAACAGGCTCAGAGACAAGAGAGCGCTGTGGGTATTGAACGCATGTGGGGCTGTTCACTTATGGGATAATTCCACTGAGCCCTCCCAGATGAATCAGCCAGCTAAGGAATAGTACTGGTGTGGAGTGATTGATCAGGCAGGGCTCCAAAACTCAAATGGTGATGACGGTGATCATAGGCTTTTTCAGTGGGTTTTTTTTTTTGAAGCAGGTGCCCAGGGCAAGAAGTGGCCCCTGAGGTTAGTGGAGAGCTGGCCTGTCCTACCGCACAGACTTGTTTGGAATCGCTTCTCAGGACTTTTCACCAGTGGCAACTATATTTACAAGCTGAGGATTACAACGCCCAGTTCACTGTCAAGACACTGGGATACGGTTTCTCTGGACCTGGGTCAAAAAGTCGCCACCATATCTGGTCTCGTCCTAAAGGAAAATAAATTGTGCTTCTATGATGACACCGAAGACTTTGACCTTACCTTAGATTACCCTCAAGTAAACTGGTCACTATGGGCTCCCTCCCGCCGCCCCCCCCCCCTTCAGGGTTACAAACTAACTATACTGGTTTGTCTAGGACTAGGAAGGTTCTGAAATGTAGGATTTTCAATGTTAAAACTAGGACAGTTCTCCTCAGAGGCTCCTGGAATACACAAGTGATTTCCTTCCCAAGCAAGTTTAGGTGACTGGCACTGCTTTCATAAAGTAAGATCCTTTAAAATGGAGATGAAAGCTTGGTCTTCTTTTTCCAAGACATGAAGTAACTGCTCAATAACTAAATAACTCTGCACAGTAAGAGAACCCATCAAACAAAGTGAAAATAAGAAAATACTTACAAATCACATCTGGTAAGGAGTTAGTAGCCAAATTATAGAAGCACTTGGGGCCAGAGCGATAATACAGTAGGTAGGGCATTTGCCTTACACACAACTGCCCAGGGTCCAAGTCCTGGCATTCCATAGGGTCCCCCGAGCATGGCCAGAAGTAATTCTTTAGTGCAGAAGCAGAGGTAATGCCTGGACATCTGTTGATATGACCCAAAAATGACAACAAAAAAAAAAGTAGAGAAACACCTCATACAATTCAATAACTTTTAAAAAGTACCAAAGGGGGCAGAGTGATAGTACAAGTAAAGAGCTTGCCTTTCAGGTATCATGCTAAGCGAAATGAGTCAGAAAGAGAGGGATAGACATAGAAAGATTGCATTCATCTGGGGGATATAAAGTAACAAAGTATGAGATTAATACCCAAGAATAGCTGAGATCAGCACCAGGAGGATTACTCCATAACTTAGAGGCCAGCCGGGTATCCTAGAGGAAAGGGCAGTTCAGATAGAGAAGGGAGCACCAAATAAAGGATGTTTGGAGGATCCTCCCAGGAGGGGAGATGCATGTCAAAAGTAGACTATGGACTGAATATGTTTGCCACTCAATGCCTCTTTTGCAGACCACAACACCCAAAAGGAGAGAGAGAACACAGGGGATTGCCCTGCCACAGAGACAGGGGGGATGGGGGGATGGGGGTGGGAGGGATATTATCCATGGTGGTGGAAAATGGGCACTGGTGGAGGGATGGGTATCTGATCATTGTATAATTGAAACCAAAGCACAAAAAATTGTAAATCTACAACTGTAAAAAAAATAAAATAAAATAAAATAAAATAAAGGGGAAAAAAAAAGAGTTTACCTTTCACCCAGCTGACCAGGATTCAATCTCCCAGCACCCCATAGAGTGCCCTAGTCCCCACCAGGAGTGATTCCTGAGCACAAAGCCGGGAGTAAACTCTTAGCACTGCTGCGCATTTTAGTCTTCACACACACACACACACACACACACACACACACACACATGGTAACATAAATAAATAATTTTTTTAAAAAAATAAAGCAGAAAAACACTGATTTTACAATGGTCCAATGATCATAGACATTTTTCTTTTAAGGGGTCACACAGTCACACCTGACTGTGCTCTGAGCATACTCTTGGCAATACACTCAGGTAACATTCCTGGCTGGGCTCCGGGGACCATATGAGGCGCCTGGGGTGGAACCTCAGTCAGCCATGTACAAGGCAAGTGCATTATCTTCTGTACAATGTATGCAGCATAATCATAGACAGTTTACCAAAGAAGGCATGCAGACAGACAGCTGGTACATGAGAAGATGCTCAACATCTCAACCATGTTTTGCATTCATGGGATGGGTGGGATGGGTGTAGGTGGTCAAACAGAAGTACAAGCTTCCAGAGCCAAAATAAAGAAATCATGAGAATGTGATGTACCTCATCATGATTGTAGTTAACATGTAATTAACACTTTATTGTAAACTTGAAAGCTGCTGAAGTAATAAATCTTAAATACTATCACAACAAAAATTATAGTCATGCAAGGTGACAGATATCAACTAGATGTATATGATAATTATTTCACAATAAAATCCCTGTGTTGTGTACATGAAGCTATTGTCAGTGGACCTCAATTTCAAAAAAAAAAAAACAGAAATGGCTGAGTGAAGAAATAAAGGTGTGCAACTTATTTTGGTTTTGTGCTGTATGTGGGGCTGGGAATCAAACCCAGGGCCTCGCATATGCAAGCTCTATCCTAAGTCCTATCCCTAGGACTCCCATCTTTCTTGTTGTTGGGTTTCAGATTGCATTTGGAGTAGGTTTTTGGAGTTTTTTTTTTTTTTGCAAGTTTTTTTTTTAAACTATGCCAGTGCTGGGCAAAGAATAGGATAGGCCTCATGAAAGTGTGTGTCTCAAGCAGGTTTTTGGCAGTCAAAGCAGCATGTTATAAAGGACCTGTGCCAAATCACACAGTACAACTCTTTATCACCTCCAATCTGTGCAGAAATGGTGTAAGATCCTGTAAGAGGTTTGAGGTCTTTGCAACTCTGACACCCAGAAGAAGACATTCCACCTCCCCAAGGTTTGGGCTGCCTATCTATTGAGTTAAGACTAGTAAATCCTAGATTAGGTGGTGGTTATGATGGTTACAAAGGACATATTTAAGGCAATAGAGCTTTTAGGTTCTATAGGGTAGGATGTGGACATACTCGGGCAACCATAATTTAGCCTACCTCAGTAAGTTTTTTCAATTCCTTGTGTTATTCTGTACCCCGTCTGTCATTGCTATATTGATGTGGCTGTTGCAGTGACTGGAACCACACACACGCCAACTGTGATGCTCAGACATGGAGTTGCGCTGCTCTCCCAGGGTGCAGCACTTCATTTCAAAGCGCGTGCACACATGCTTATCAGGGTTCATGCCCTTAAATGGAAGAATGCATACTCGGGTTTCAGTGCTCACTGGCGATTGCTTCTTGGAGCATTCACACACGCGCTCACCAGGGTCACCCCTCCCCCACTTTGTGGCATTTTGCACACACCTGGCTGCAGTATGGCCCAAAATTGCTTGTGATGCCAGGAATCCCAGACAGCAGAGCTGCCAGACTCCAACAGCAAAGCTTCCAGGATCTCACTCAGTACATATGGCAGCACTGGGAATTGAACTTGTGACCATATGTTTGCAAGGCAGACATTCCACATCTCTGCGCTATTCCTCTGGGCCACCTCGGTAGTTTTAAATACCATCCATATGCTCCTGACTTCTATATTTTTATTTTCTTCTTTCTTTCTTCCTTTCTTCCTTCCTTTCTTTCTTTCTTTCTTTCTGTCTTGATTTTAGCTTATACCAAGCAGTTTTCAAGGACACGAAAAACTCCTGTCACAGTGCTCAGGGCTTACTCCCATCAATGTTCAGGGGACCATTAAATGCAAGGCATTGAAACCAGGGCTCTTGCCTGCAAAGCCTGCTCT